CGTGTAATAAAATTATGGTTATTATACGAGTAGAATAAATTTTATTATATTTCTTTTATCAATTTTTATTTTATCTTTCAAAGTTAACGTGCCATCAATAAAAAATATTGTTTGTGATGTACATGTGTCTGTGTTAGATTTACTTTCTAGGTTGGTTTAAACAGTCCAACACGTGGCTGTGGGGTCAATAACGGAATTTCTCTGTCGTGTAAAGTGATTTGGCATTGTCCAAGAGAAAATTATCCTTAAACTTTTTTTAAGAGTGATTGACTTTCCTTCTTGAAAAATGTAAGTAAAAATTTTTCCAAATAGATAAAACTATTTGATTGAATGGCCACGCACAGAAGTTTTTTCACTTTTTATAGTTTTCTTTAATATTTAGTATAGCTTGGACACTCAACCTAGTACTGGTAATTAAAATGAAAGTAAATTTTTTTTCCAATAAATAAAATTATTGAAATGTTTAATTGAGTCCGTATCCGATTGATAGCAGCATTTAATATTGATTATATACTTAAGTAAATACCTTAACCAATCATCATAATCATTAACAAGGTAAGTCTATATCCAGTTAGGTAAAAATGATAGGGATCAAAGAAGATAAGAGTTTAATAAGTGATATGATTGTTTTAGAGATAGGTGTCAATTAATTTATCCAAATAGTTTTCTCTATTTTTTAATCAAATAGTATAAATAACGGTGAGTTTAAGTAGAATGTATGTTTAATAATTATTTATTTCTTTTCAACACTTTGTGCCAGGTCTTAGGAGAAGTCTTTCTAATTGGGATCGGGTTTTTCAAGTCAATCTTAAAATTTGACATTGATTTTTTTCACCTAATAAAATTATCTTACCATTCTTACTCTAATAAATTATCTCACTGGTTCAGAAAGATTGACCAATTTGTTAGAGTAAGAACGGTGAAATAATTTTATCACATAAAATAAAGATAGAAAATAATATCAAGTTCAAAAATTGACGGAAAAACCAATTTTTGACTAGGAGGACTCTTTACAAGACTTTGCACAAGTGTTAGAAAGCTAGTAAATAGTTTTTTAAGACTTATTTTATTCAAACTAACCCTTATTTATCTATTAACTAAGAAATAAATCAAATAAATTGTCACTTGTCTCTAAAACAAACCTAATTTACCACCAAAATATATATAAAACAATTTTATTCCTTATTAAACCTTTATCTTATTTGATTCCTATCAAAATATTTAAATATTATTTTCTTTTATATATTTTTCAGTCTCTACAAGGTGTATACATACATACATACATATATATATATTCTTTCTAAATAAAAAAAATTCCTAATTGTAGAAAAAGTACGTTTGTACATTTATTCTTATAAGATGCAACAATTACAACTTAATAGAAAATATTGGCTGTAATGTCTACATGTCTGCATAAGATCTACTCCCAAGCTAGATGCATAATGTAGTAGATGGCTTCGATGGATTGGCAGAATTATGTCTAACACGAGGCTGTGGGGTCAATAACGGAATTTCCCTGTCATGTTTGTGACCGTCGAGAAAATTTATCCTTCCATTTTTTTTAGGGTAATCAATTTTCCTGTTTGAAAATGAAAGTAAAAAATATTTCAAATAGATAAGATTTTGGGACCGTTTAATTGAATTGGGCAGCCAGGTATACAAGTTCTTCACCTTTTATTGTTTCATTTAATATTTTGGAAAAGGTTTCACAAAATATGTTTAGTAGAGTTTTATTTCTCTACCTGGGAATAGGGGTGTGCAAACCATAATTTTGATTTGGTTTTTGATATTTTGGTTTTTTTAATTTTAATACTTTAAAACCAAACTAAACCAATTTAATTATAAAGCAAATCAAACCAAACTTAAAATTTTGGTTCGGTTTGGTTTGATTTGGTTTGGTTTTAAATTTAATTTTTTATTAATTAAAAATATTTAAATAAATTATTTATTTAATTTATTATTATTAAATATACATGTATATGCATATATATGTATGTGTGTGTACATGTATATATATTTGTATATACATATATACATATAATATACACACACACATATAACATAACATATATATGTATATATTTATGTGTATATATATATATTCATGTAAATATAAAAATATATATATGTGTATGTGTACACGTAACCCTATTCACAGTTCCGGTTCGGACTGGGAAAAACCAGACCGAACCGGACTAGCAATATCTGGTCCGGTCCGATTCTGAACCGTAAAGGTTCGCGGTCTGGTTACGGTTCAGGTTTTTTTGAACCGGAACCAGAACGGGAAATGAACCGTGAACCAGAATCGTGAATGAACCGTATACTAAAACATATACGAAGCGTGAATGAACTGCGAACAAACCGGAATCGTGAATGAATTGAATCAAATATGCATAAATATGTAAATACATATATTTATGTATTTATGTATGTATATATACATATGTGTGTATTTATATATTTATATACAATATAAATATATGTACATGTGTATGGTATATAAAAATTTATATGTATGTATGTATGTTTGTGTGAGTACATACACATATAAGTATATATATGTATATATATTATATGTTCTTATATATATATATATCTATATGTATCTATATATTAATATATATACATATTTGTATGAGTAAATATAATTTATATATATATATATGTATGCATATATGTATGTGCGTCCATCTGTGTATGAACATACACATATAAGTATATATATGTATATATAGATATATAAATATATATTTATATAATATATGTAGGTGTGTGTATATATTAATATTTTTTATAAAAAAATTTCAAAATTTTAGTTTTTGGTTTAAAATGGTTTGGTTTGGTTTAATTTTAAACCAAACCAAACCAAACTATAATTTTGAATTATTTTTCTAAACCAAACCAAATTAAACTAAATTTAAAAAAACCAAACCAAATTTTAATTTGGTTTAATTTGGTTTGGTTTTGCACACCCCTACTTAGAACATAGCAAATCTGTATATTCAAATTTTTGTTTTCACAAAGAAAAAAGAAAAACATTGTCAAAAAAAATTTGAAAAAAGCATCGACTGAACGGCAACATGGGTGAATATAAGATAAATACCCATGTATTCACTATCGTATTCGATTGAAAAATTATTTAATTTTAAGGAAATATTTAATTTTTTAAAAATATCTCTAATAACATAGTTATAATTTTATAATATCATGTTTTTAATTTGGGCGTGGAAAGATTGTGGAGGGACATTTCAAAAAATCAAATTACCTTTTAGGCTAATATTTTTTATATTAATCATCTAGATAAATAATTTTACTAAGCTAATCAATTTGGTAATTTTTCCTAATTTTAATCTTTATTCCTATCCCTGTTAGATGATACTACACTCATTTAAACATTTGAACACAATTCATTTATTTAAATTAATATATTTTATATTATATTAAATATTTTAAATATATTTTTAATATATATTGTATTAAATATAAAATTAACCGTTGATTTTGATCAAATTAATGTTGTGAGATGTTGTGTAAATAACTTACATTTATATTACGTGTCAATTGATCATTCATCTCATTTATTTATTTAAATTAACATATTTTATATCATATTAAATATTTAAATATGTTTTTAACATATAAGAGTATGTATAATATATATTATATTGAGTAAGAGATATATTAGATATTATAACCCCAGTATCTGGTAAAAATTCTTAAATTTATCTCTATTTTTATTTTACACAAACCGTATCTACACGCAAGTAAACAAACAGGATAAAAGTTACAAAAAAAAAAAAAAAAAAAAACAAAACTATGGTCTGGCCACGTGTGTAGATGGGCTAGCCGAAAGGCTTCAGTGGGAGTCGAACCCAAACGGAGCCAGCGTCTTGGGCTCTGTTAATCCATGGGCCGGGTGTAACTTTCCAAGAGTTGAGGAAGGAATTTACATAATTTCTACTAGTTATATGTTTCTGATTCAAAAAAAAAAAAAAAAAAGAAAAAAGAAAAAAAAAAAAACTACATATTTGTCTCGTGTAATTATTTTTTAAAAATATCCATATTTCTCACCAAAATAAAAATCAAAACTTAATGAATTTGTGATAAGATCTAAACGTGTTTTGTTTATTTTAAAAATTTAATTTTATTTTATTTTATTTTTTTTCCCTAACAAGTGGTATAAGACACTAATTAAATAGTATTTAATGATATTATAAAAAAATAACTTTTATATATTTAATTTGTATATAAAAAATTTAACTTTTGTAAAGGAGTTCTAAAATCAAAATTTTTAAAAATTGATTTCTCACTATAAATACCAAATTTCTAAAATGGGTTTTAAAAAGAAAAATCAAAACTTAAATGAGTTTTTTATGAGATCTAAAGGCGTTTTGGTTATTTTAATTTTAAATTTCATTTTATATTTTGAATTATAATTTTTTTTGAACAAGTGGTATAAGACACTAATTAAATAGTATTTAATGATATTATAGAAAATTAAATTTTACAATTTCTAACTTTTATATAAAAATTTTGTAGAGTTCTAAAATCAAAATTCTTAAAAAAATTGATTTCTCACCATAAGTAACAAATTTCTAAAATGGGTTTTAAATTTTCTTAAAAAATTAATTATTATTAATTTTTTTTAATGAATTTAAACCTATCACGATATATGTATAATGGATTTCTCATCGTTTACAATTAGCAAACGGGGCTATAAGAGTACGGAGAACGCGGCCCGGCGACCCCGCTTTATTCTTCCGCGGAATCCACCGGCGAATATCCTCCGTTCGATGCATCCGAACCATTGACTTTCCCATTCACATTGGAGTAGCCGCGATCACATTCATCTCCAAATTGGATTGTGGACCCCACCTCCACGTCATCCCCAAAAGCACCCTCATATCCGGACTCCAATTTCTCAGGCCCGTCTGTGTTCCTCGCAAGTGCTTCAAACTCCCCAAGCAGAACGAGAGTCCTTGCCTCTCTGAATTTTCCTGATGGAAAGCAGTTTATCGAGTCATGGCGGCGCCGTCACTTGTGCATCGTGGATCCGGCGGCCCGAAAACGCGCATCTGGTAGCGGTGGGAAAGGCGAGGCACGGCGACGAGCCGGCGGTGCTCGAGATCTTCTCTTTCGACTCCAAGACGTTCTCTCTTTCCTCTTCTCCCTCGGTCTCTCTTTGCCCCATGCTTGCCCTTAGTCTGTACGTAATCTTTGTGTTATTTGATTACCCTCTGTTTCTGACTCGCTCTTTCCCGATAGGCCTCCTGTGTGATTGAAGAAGGTGATCCTGTGAGCATCGCGGTGCACCCAAGTGGCGACGATTTCGTTTGCTCCATCAACGGCGGCAGCTGCAAGTGAGTTTCTATGTTTAGAAAACAAATAAATAAATCCCCTTTTTATCGAATTTCCCTTGGCGAATTCGAGTTTGCGACCGTCTTCAGTAAAATATATAGTAATTCAAAGCTCCTAGAGTCTAAAGTTAGTGTTTTTCAAGTTTGTGCTTTTGAGTGAGGTTTAATATACGTTCTTGACCCCTACAATTTAGTGCCTTTTGAGAGTTAGTTTATTAGTGGGTATTGCATATTAGCTATCATCTTCTTCAATTCAATTTCTGTACTCGCATTCTTTTTGGTAGAGAACTATTTAGCTTTAATTGAGCTTCTTTATGAGGTTACTATAGGCATGCCTGATAACAGATAAATCGGTTGTCTGACTGTCAGGCAACTTGTCTATCAAATTAACGTATTAAAGCAAGTATAAAGCTATATTTTATTCCAGTGTCTATGACTATGTCCACATTGATCTTTAATATGTTTTACAGGGATTTATTTTTATTTTAGAAGTTTTATTGCAATAGTCTTATTTAATTTCTGAATTGGTTTTTGAATTATTTCATCATTCCTGTGGTCTATGGGGTGAACTTCCTGCTGGTGCTTCTGATTATGGAAAACATTGGATGCTACAATGAAGAATTGTATGCAGAGTAGTAAATTTCAGATCCTCAAAGTTAGATAATTAATATTGGTCACATGTAGACTTTTGGACTTCTTACAGAACTCGACCTTAATATTATGCCAGTCCTTGTTGTCCCTGACATTATATGGACATTTGAAGACTTTTGAAACTCCCACGTTCAAATTGGTTTCAGAAGGATGGGAATGATTGATGTATCTGAAACTAGTAGAGTCTTGGCATCTTGAGAAAAGAATATGCATTTAAGGCCTTATAAACTGCCATGAATTTCTATACTATTGCTTTGTGAATGTGTGAAACTCCTGTATTATGCTAAACTTACTAGTGTGATGGAGAGAAGCAGAAATTTGAAGTAATAGTTGCATGAGCTGTTATGTGCTTGAGATTTAGGAAATAAGTTTACCTATCTGCATTTTGGAGTTGTTTGTCATTGTGGAAACTATTCATTGGCATCAGAGAATAATTATGAGCTTGTTACATCTCTACGCAATATTTTTTTTTGGTTACAATCTTTATGCAATATCTTTGATATAGGGTATAAGTGCTATTTTACCAAGAATATGCTTCTATGAGATGCTTTGTTTGAAGGCTGATTATTTTGTTCTCCTTTGGAAAGATAGGCAGCAATTGGAAGGTGATATCCTGTCATGTTGCATCCTTTTTTGCTCCCAGTTAAAGTAGGAAAGACTATTCTATATGCTATATGCTTATGTTGTAAAAGTTTCATACACATTCTTAAGTGAACTTCATACATTTGCACAAAGCCTTTGTTAGGGTGTTTGGTAAACTGTTAGGTGCCGAAGGATGTGTTGATTTGTTACTTCCACTTGCTGAAATTGTTTGGTCATCTATTTTGCTTGTCCTTTTCTTTACCCTCATTTTCTTTCAGCTGCCAACTAGTAGTATGATCATGATCTGTTCTTTTGACAATTTATTGATTCTTCATTTGTTCATCTATTGTTTTATTCACTACTATTCAGATTCTAAATTTGGTCAGGTGGAGCTAGTTGTATTGTCATTATGATTTCTGTTCCTCTTGGTGTTTGATAAGCAGGATAAACTGTTTTATGTGATGTGCAGATGGTTTGAGTTGTATGGTCGAGAAGCTCATATTAAATTGTTGTCTAAAGATGTTGTTCCTTTACAAGATACTGGCATACAGAAATGCTTAGCTTTTAGTGTTGATGGATCAAGATTTGCATGTGGTGGAGTGGTAAGAAATAACCTAGTCTGATGAGGAGTTCTTACTTGATTTAGTGTCGCCATGTGATTTTGGCAAATCTGACCTAATCTTTATTTTAACTTTAGGATGGACATATCAGAATCTTTGAATGGCCGAGCCTCCGTGTCATTTTGGATGAACCCAGAGCTCACAAGTCCGTTCAAGATATGGATTTTAGGTAGAAATTCAGTTTTCTTTTGTTTTTATTTTGTTGTTGTTTGGTCATGTTTCACAACAACAGTAGTTTTATGTGTGTATTGCAATAAAGATTGTTGAGGCCCTCTTCTGGCGAGGCTTTACCCTGGTTTGCGGTCTTTATTAATGAAATTTCTAAATATTACCTCTTCCTCACTTTGATAATAAAAGGTGACAAATATATGGCTCTTTACAAAACATAATTACGTCTGAATGATCTTTGCCATTTAAGATGACCATATCATGTCTCTACTGAAACAAACATCATTGACATAGAGCAATTGCCACCAAGTTTGCTGCTGATCTGTGCTGTCTGCTATTCTATTCCTCATCTTCGCATAAATCGGATGCATAGTGCCTTACTTATTTTTCTTTGTCTCACCACAATTGAATGGTGGAGTTTTATCTATTTATTTTTATATTTTATTCTTTTGCTTCTAGTCACATGTATGCATTGGCTTTTTTCTTTCTTTTCTTTTCTTTTTTAAGGTGCTGCTGTTGGACAGCCAAATTCATACTGTCCCATCTGTATGATTGACAGCTAAGATGGTTAGTATCATGTCTGATACAACAATAATGCACTACCTCTACAAGCATCAAAAGGTGCAGGACATAATATGGCCAAGAGTCTCCCAAATCTCACCAAGTAGGGAGCCTTGGAATGCCCTATTAATGCCATATTTATGAATCATAAAGTATTATAGAAAATGATACTTTGTCTACACTAGATGCCTCCATTATATGCCCTTTTTGATACTATTTTGCCCCCCGCCCTTCTTCATATGTTAAAACACGTCATGCGCTTCAAGTATAAGCCACATTCAATAGATACACTTCAAATAAATCGTTTTTACTTAATAATATAATGTATGTTGCACATTACTTGTATATTTGAGAACAACTAGCATTTGGAACAGTCTTTTTATTGGGGGAAAAAAAAAGCAAAAGATACTAGAGAATATAAACCTCACATTGGTCATGAAAACAAAATTTGAGTGCTATTGGCTGATTAAATTTCACAAAATTGCTCAAAGACTGGTTCTTAGCTATCATGCTTGTACCTGTATGTGGTATTTCTGAAGATTGGAAGGATCATTCTTCATAAAAAGTTGATAGTCTTTTAGTAATTTAAGTTAACATTTATTTATTCAGAATGTAAAGAATGCCTTAAGCTTATTTTTTTGAATCTGAAATCCCCATTTTGTGCTGTCCATTTATGCAGTTACATATGAAAATTAAACTTACATAACATTGAAGTTGCAAAAAGTCATGCTTACATAATTACCTTACCCTTGTCAAATGTTCAGTCTAGACTCAGCATTCTTAGCTACAACATCTGTTGATGGCTCTGCAAGAATATGGAATACAAGTGATGGCGTTCCATTGACTTCTTTGGCTCGCAACTCGGTATAGTTTATCCAATTTAAGATTTGATGGAAGTACTCTTTCTTATGCTTCTTCTGGACCCCTGACTTTAATGTCATATCCTCCCTCTGCTGCAGGATGAAAAAATAGAGCTATGTCGCTTTTCCAAGGATGGGACAAAACCTTTCCTATTTTGCACTGTCCAAAAAGGTATATTTGTCCTTACAATAGACAAGAACATGATATGTCGTTGCATCACTTTCTATTGATACTTGTACAAATCCACACAATTAATACCAGTTGCACAGGTTTGGCCTTGGGAATCAGTTTTTCCCCTGTGAGCTCTCTTTAAAGCCACGTAATCCGTTTGCCTGTTTCAAGCTTGATCAGTTAATGATGCTTGTGTTAATTGGTGTACCACCTTAATATGAATTTCTTCCGTAATGTCTTCAATTGCTCCAGTGCTGACTCCTTGAATTGCATTCCTTTATTTATCTGCCCATTTTGTACCTGTCATCTATATCAACATCCCTATTGGCTGATCTCACTATCAAAGCATTTTTCCCCTAGCAACCTATAATTTGTACCAGAAGATTTTTGAATTGGAAAAATTTTTGTCTATACAATGCAGGTAATAAAGCGCTCACGGCTGTTTGGGACATTAGTACATGGAATAAAATTGGGCACAAGAGACTACTTAGAAAGCCTGCTTCTATAATGTCCATCAGTTTGGATGGAAAATATCTTGCTCTGTAAGTGACTTGAATTTCCTTTTCATTCTGGTACTGTGTTTGGCAGGACGTGTTCAAGAATATGCAGAAGAGCAAATAGGCTTATTTGGTTGAACATCTTACATGAACTGGAGTATTTATGATTTACTATGAGTGATTAGTTTAGAGTCTTAAATCTTGTAAAAGTATCTATATGTTGTCCAAATTGCTTTGAACTTTCTGTTTTTTGTATCTTTTCCAATCAGTCTAACTACCTAAACTAGTTGTATACAAACTTTTTACTTATGACTGATCAAATAGCTAAGGCTGCAATGTCTGCTACTAGTAAAAAAAACCTCTGGATGTGGAACAATCCTCCACTAATATATTTTTGATTAAGGATTTGTCTTCAACTTTAAAATCCAAGATATTGTTTTCTTCTGGACATCTCATATGATCATATCTTTGTTTTTTCTTTTATGCAATTTAGTCATGGAAATTTACTCGTGCTTCTCTGAAGCATAATTAAGAGGCATGGCTTTAGTTTTCTACACCAGTGCTTATTCTGTCTCTTGATGGTGACCCTAATTAAGCTTGCAAGATTGACTAAAAACATGTTAATTTTATGAGATTAGATGTCTGCTTTTTACACTTCGCAACTAGGGGCACAATCGGAGTAATTTTTTCCTGTCTGGTAGATGATACTGATGATATCTTTTATGATGCAAATATAACCATCTATTTTTTAAAATATAACCTGGGAAGAGGCTTGCAAAGTCAGTTAAAGCTTTTTTACTTGAGGAATGCTGTTTGAATATTCAACTCTTTGTGTTGCTCAATGACATTAGAATCTTCAGTCATAGAGTGGTGCAATTGCTACATTGAGCGTTTGAATTTGATTTCCCTATTGCGAGCTATTTTGGTTTGATATGCTGCCTTGCTTTCAGAATAATGTTCTGTAGACTTGTTATTATGTGGAATTAGAGACTTTTCAATGGGAAGCCTGACTTGCTGTGATTATTCCAAATAACTGTTATTTATAAAATTTCAGAAGTTATGTTTGACATAAACCTGAGATTGAACAAAAGAATATAATTGAGATGTATGTGTTGCAATCTGACTCAAGCATATATAGATGTGTTGAATTGAAGTGCTATGCTCCCAGATACTTTTGCTTTTGGATGACAAAGGTAATGGATGCTAGCAACACATGATAGTAAGCAATATGATACTTAAATCTTTGTATCCTGAACTTGATTGGTTTTGCCATATAAGTTGTTGAGATCCTTTATGTGCAAAAAGATATTGTTTAGAGCTTTCATATCATCGTAGCAATTCACAAACTTGCTCTTTTGTTAATGGAAGTGGTAGGATGATGTGTAGTTTTTCTTCATTACAGTGGGAGCAAGGATGGGGATATGTGCATAGTTGAAGTGAAAAAAATGGAGGTATCCCATTGGAGTAAAAGGCTTCACTTGGGTTCATCCATTGCATCGCTTGAGTTCTGTCCCAGTGAAAGGTGAGATCCTAACTAATCATAATTATTACCACAAAAATGTTGCTTGTATTTTTGCTGCCGCCGCCTCTCTCTCTCTCTCTCTCTCTCTCTCTCTCTCTCTCTCTCTCTCTCACCTACAAAGTTGTGGTGTACCTTGCAGGGCTGTGCTTACTACCTCTAAAGAATGGGGAGCTATGGTGACTAAGTTGAATGTCCCTGCTGATTGGAAAGGTCTCTATTCTCTGTCCCTCTCTCCCCATATACATTGACACACATGCATGCACGAGATGCTTTTTAAAACCTACTTAGGTGCAGAGTTCAGATCTATGTATATGCTGCTTTTAGGATTATTGTAGCATCTGATTTTTTTAACCCTTGGTGTACAGAGTGGCAGATCTATTTGCTTCTTTTGGGATTATTTTTGGCATCTGCGGTTGCATTTTACATATTCTTCCAGAATTCCGATTCATTTTGGAACTTCCCTCTCGGTAAAGACCAACCAGCAAGACCAAAGATTGACACAATTTTCGGAGATCCTCAGTCGGATGATCAAAATATGTGGAGCCCATTTGGACCAGTAGATATGTAATGAATTATTTGATACTAACAAAAGTTGTGACCATAAAGAGGGCTAATTAACAACCTAGTCCGCACGTTTTTCTTTCCAAGAGAAAACAATAATTAGTCTCGCCTTCCTTGGCTTTCAATACATAGCTAGTATATTAATTTAATTGTTGATCAAGTTGTAGAATGCGATGTGTTACTTGGCAATTTCAATTAACCTGTGTACTAACACGGCAAGCATTGGGAGAAATTGTTTTTTCTTTTAGTCGTTGTCATTGATATTTTTATCCAGTATATGTAGAAATTGTTTGTTTTAAACTCAAAGACTTACAAAAATTGCCAGAAAATATTTCCTTATTTCTCATATTTGGTTGCCTATTTGTGTATCTCGTTTTCTTTGGGAGGACATAAATTTTGCATGTCCAGCAGACACTTTTCTTTGGTAAGTTGATATTTGAAATATATATTTAAAATTTTTTAGCTTAAAAAAGTTAAAAAACCAAAATATTCTTATTGCCCGATATTCATAATTTACTTGTGTAATATTTCTATTTAAAATAATATACAAATAAAGATGTGACAACCCCCAAACCCCTCACTCTTGGGTAATAACATGGACAAGGTGGGAACCATCTGAATCCACCTTAAAGTTGGGTGGATAGCGATCAAATTATTTTGATTGAGAAGTGGTGAATGGGGACCGAATTAAGCTACCATTGGGCCAAGCATGAGACAATGACATGATCGTTAAAAGCAAAGCTGTTAGTTAATTTCTACATTGGATGGGTAAGGAAATGTGTGTGTGTCTGTTTAGTCTTCTCTCAATCTCTAGCTTTTGAACTAGAAATTGAGAGTTGACTCCTTTCCAAACAAAAAAAGTATGTGAGTGGTCCTTGTCCCACATCGGATGAGTAAAGAAATGTGTGTGTGTGTTTAGTCTCCTTTCAATCTCTAATTTTTGAGCTAGAAATTGAGAGTTGACTCATTTTCAAACAAAAAAATAAAATTGTTAGTTAATTCCCCCCTTGACAACCATGTTGGTGTGTTTGAAGGCCATTTGCAAACTGAGCAAGTTTGTAACTAAGAAGTACGGTAGGGTGGTTTACTTTAGGTTAAGTCTTCTTTGACTAGGAGTCTTAATATCTATTTAATTAGTATTAATATTATTATTTGACTCAATAAGTATTAATTTATTAAATTAATTTTTAACATAAAATATAGGGTCTCAAGATTCTCTATTTTAATTGTAAAATTTTATTTTAATAGTGAAATTGAGAAAGATGAAAATAATTTCAACGTTGAAATCTTGAAATGGTGAGATAAATTTAAAAAGAAAAATTAAGTAACATATCCAACCTTCACATGGATAAAAGTAAGTCAAAATGAAGACAGCAGCTGCTGTCCCTTCGTGGCTCATTGAGACTGACAATGAAGGAGTCGAAGATAAAGCCTAACACTGATTGCGTACCACGATAACCAACAATTTGTGTAAGAGAGATGTTGATGAAATTCTTAATTGTTATTACAAAATTAATCAGCGCATGTTTAATTACCAAAATGATGTGTTAAAATATATATATATATATAGAGAGAGAGAGAGAGAGAGGGGTATGGAATCAAGCCGGATTCAGATCAAATTAGGGAATTCGAATCTAAATTTGATTATTAATGTATATATCCGAATTTGACCTAAAATTTTATACGATTTTTATTTATAATTATTATATTTGAATCTGATAAAAATCTAAAAATTGAATAAAAAATTTGATCTAAATAATAGTTAATAATAATTAAAATCAAATAATTAATAAGTAAAAAACATATAAAATTAAATAAATTATTATTTATAAATAATAAAAATTTATGTAAAATTTATATTTAATTATTTTGATTTTATTAAAATATAAATAAAATTCAGAAGTAAATTGTTATTTATGAATGATTAAGAAAAACTTTTGTTATATAATAGATTACAAAAAATTATGATAGGATTTCAATACTTTATAAAATTGTTAAATTTTATTTGTATTATAATTAGAACTTAGGAAATTTTGTAATCAATTTATTCAAGTATTTCATAAAATTTTAAAAGTAATTAATTATTAAATACAATATCTAATGAAAAAACTAAAATTAGGAAAAGTAAAAGAATATTCTAGAATAGTTTTAAAAAAATATACATTATTCTCTTAAATAAAATATCTCATAAATACAAATTAGTACATTATTAATTCTAATACCACATATATTGTATTTTATATAAAAGTATTTATTAATATATATGATTATTAATTAAATAAAATATTATAAAAATATTTAAATTTAGATTTTTAACGAATTAGATTACTTAATTCCATGTTCAATCCACTTATTTCAGATTACGGATATTTATAATCAGATTTAATCCATCGGACATTTTTATCGATTAAAAAATCCAAAATTCGAATCGAATTCGGATAAAAATCCAATTTATTGACAACTCTATATATATATATATATATTTATTAAAACATCGGCAATGATAGATAAAAATAGTTATATATCAATACATAAAATTATAGATAAAAATAATTGTTAACGAAAAGTTTATATAAATCAAGTAATTTTTTGGAATTAATGAAATTAAGATTTCTAAAGTTTTAGAATTTTGAGGCATGAAATTGGAGTTCATTGAGTTTTGGGCTTGAAAACTTAAAAATATAATTTTTAAAATATTTTGTATCATATACTCTCAATTTATATTTAACACTTATTATTTGTGACTTTTAAAGTTCCACAATAAGAGTTTTTATATGAAAAATTATCTTGGGACTTTTTAGTTTTTAAAACACAAAAAATTTAGATGTCAAATACTTATTATTTTTTTTAAAATGAAAGTTTTAAATTTGAAACATCTTGAACCTCTATTTTCTATTTTTTAATTTTTAGACATAAAGTAATGAACATTGAAAGTCTTTTACCAAATAACCCCTCGTTATGAAGGAGGTACAATTAAATTGTATACAGAGACGCATGTCTTGCAGCAAATCACGTAATGTATTGACAATAACATCCACAGACACCTCTTCTAAACCAACCCGAGAAAAGTTTCGGGAAAGCCAGCAACAAAATTGAAAGGTATAATCGGGTCGGGTTTAATCCGAGCCCGAACTTGGAAAGTGATGTGACGTTCTCGAAAGCGCGTGGCCAGTTGTCACCTTCCCTGTCCCCATCTACCTCTGGCACTAACAGATCACTCGCACTGTCTCTCCCTCTCACTTCCAACGCCCACGGCCTGACCGAAGGCCTGAACAGAACCAACGACGCCAACTGAAATATAAACCCAGAGGTATCGAGATTTCCCTGATCATATCCACGTAGGTCGCAGCTCTTCCTCTTCAAATATTTTGACCTCTCTCTCTATCCCTCACTGATTAAAAAAACTTCACCGCAGAAATGGGCCGCAACTCGGCGAGCCCTGGCCGCGACTCCTCCGGCGACGAAGCCAACGGCGGCGACAATGCAGCTGCCGCCGCGGGAGGAAGCGACGGGGCCCGGGTGCTGCTCTCGATCCGCGACCGCATCCGGTTCAAACGAAACCCTAATAATTTAACACAGAGCTCCAGCACCAGCGCCAAGGATCGCGCCAAGACGGCGGCGGCTTCGGATCGGCACGGGCGCTCCAGCCGATCGCACCTTCACGGCCGGTCCACTGCTCGTAGGTTTTGTCCTTTCAGAGGCAGGTCTCTGTTCTATTTCTGCATTTTCTTCTCTGTGTTTGTGTTTGCACTGGCTTCGATGGTGCTGCAGAGCTCGATCGCATCAGTGTTCCGTACGGGGAATGAGAGGGGGAGGTCGGTGCGGGAGAGTTTGAAGTTCGGGAGCTCGTTGGAGTTCGTGCCTTGGAGGGTAAGGAGGAGAGCTGGTCTTGATCGGCTGCGGAGCGCGCCCAGGATTGGCGTGCGGCCTCCAAGGCTTGCACTTGTGAGTGTTAATGAATTTATTATCTGTTATTTTCGTTTTGGGTTTACAATTTGTTGTACAAATTTTCTTTGGAGGTTATGATTTGATTTTTGTGTAATTGTCTGCAAAGCCATGTGGCATTCCTGTATTGGGAAAGGAATTGTGCAGAAACTAATGGTCTTATCGTTGGGCATTTTCTTTCGTGAGTCTGTCAAAAGTACTGATATGAGCCCGAGATCATAAAATTATGGTTTTGTAGACAAGGGAAGTTAGACTGATTTATGAACTATGCATTGATACAGAGTAGTTGCGAGCAAATTGATAAAGTTAATATGTTAGTTTCTGTTCTTTTAAGTATGGATTTTATCATTTCTACATGGCTTAGGATATCTCTTTCTTGAAATATTTGTTTTTTAAAGTTTCTTAGGAAAAATTTTTAGATGAAAAATATATTTTCTTTGGAAAGCAGTTTCAAGAATCTTATGAAAATGTTGTTGTACTTGTTAGTTCCAATGCTGCTATTATTATTATCAATGTTATTGTGCCATCTCTTTTTAGATCTTCAATTTCTGATTGCTTCTGTTTCTTCCATGAGATAGTGGCTCTTACTTTCCTTGTTATTGTCTGAACCTCATGGTATGAAGTGAAACAGTAATGTGATTTCTTAAAATTATGTATGAGCTTTGTGAATTAGTATATATTAGCTTGACCGGGTCAGCATGTTTTATTTTGATGTTTGTTATATTGGTCTAGTGAAGTGATTAACTTTTTCCACTTAATAGTGCTTCATTTTCATGTTGTTAGATCTTAGGAAACATGAACCAAGGCCCTGTGTCATTGATGCTGTGTACTATGGTGAAGAGCCTACAGGAACTCGGTTATGTGATCAAGGTGATTTTATTTGAATGTTTTGTATTTGATACTTGGTTTTTGTAAAGATAGGATTTGTATTTGTATTTCTCATTGATGATAATGGCAGATGCTTTTTTTATTTATTATTTTTTTAATGGCTAGAGACATGTTTATTGAGGAGTATTTTTTGGTCATTTTCTGTTTCTATTTTCACATTTTTTTTAATCTCTTTTTCTCTTTGTTTGGGGTGATTCAAACAAATTATGCATTATTCATTGGTTTTTATCCCTTTTTTCTTGTTAAATGAAGGATGCATATAAATCCTTCGTACCTTTACTTCTAATAAGAGGGCATTTGTTGCCCCATATGGCACTGGTGACTAGAATGCCCCATTCGAAGTTCTATTAGAAACTAAATTTCTTGTTATAGTGACCAGTTGTCGATGACTCCATTCCGTAGGGATTTGTATGCTTAACTCATGGTAAATCAACTTGGTTTTGATGGCTTTATATGATTTGTTTATGAAACCCTATCAAAGACAATTAGGTTCCATTGGGATAAGTTTTCTATTTTCTATTCTACAAAACTTTTTTTTTAGATGAGTGCTTGAAATTTGTTACTGAAAACAAAAGAAGTTATGTACGTGGTTTCAAAAAGATAACTTCTTCTTGAGGGATTTTTTATGTTTAACGCATTGGAAATCAACATGGTTTTATTTCTTTATATGATTTGTTTTATATCACCCTTTCAAAGATAATTAGGATCCATTTGAGTTTGTTTTCCATTTTCTATTTTACAAAACTGTTTTCTCGAAGGGTTGTTGAAAATTGGTTTTCTAACAACAAAAAACTTATGTATGTGGTTTCAGGAAAAGACACCTGCTCTTTTCCGCAAGACCAAAAACTGAATTCTAAGACTAACCCTGATACTCCTTCCTCCATCATCCCCCCCTGCTGCCTGCTACCATCACTGCCTGTTTCTGCTGCTATCCTTGGCCAATAACCACCTCATCTCCTCCTCTTTCAACTGGTAAATCCTGTGAGAGATAGAGTGGTGTAGAGAGAGACTTAGAGATTGAAAAATGTGAAGAAATCAATGGAAGGGGGGGGGGGGGAGATCAGTAGATGCAGAAAGAGATCAACAAGAAGAGAGATGACTAGAGGGTGATCTCCCTAGCAGCTTCTGGCGGGAGAGACCAGTGATGGCAATGGTGGTCATATAGATGTGATGGCATTGTGGTTAGAGAGCAGCCCCAACAACTTTATTTCAGTGGGCCTCTAGAAGAGAAAATGATTTTTTTAAACTTCTTTTTGGTGTTCTAAAAAATCACCCACTTTTTGATTTTGTTTCAAGAACTGAGAACAAAAACTGGTCTCCTTCTGTTTCCGAGAACAAAATCAAACAGATCCTTACTTCTTTATATCAAATTTTACTGATGCTAGTTAGATCAGCACTTATCTAAATTCTCCTCTTCTAATTATGAAAACCTGTAGCACTATGAATCTCTTCAACTTAGATTCTTATTCTTTACTCATCCTTCCTCTGGTTCTTTAACAGATTTATGCAACAGATGATGGCAGAATGCGTTCCGCAATGGAGCAAATAGGAGGTCATATCTCAGTACTTAATCCTAGCAGATATGGTCAGGTTGATTGGTCAAGGTATGTCTGCCAGCTGGTATTATTGTGGTTTTTTATTTTATTTTTTTGAAGTTTTGTATATTGTCTCAGGAACACTTTTGATAGCAAACTTAGTAAGGCTCCAATTAAACATGTTTATATTAGAAGAAACAAGAGAGAAGTAGCAGAAGCTGTTAGTTAACATTCTGTTAGTTTGGGCTGCCGGGTGTAGTTAGTTAGGTTGTTGAGAGTAACTGTTGTGAATATAAGTAGGAAGGGAATGGGAGGAAAGAGAAGTTCTGATTTTTGCTGAGAGTTGTGAGTAGAAGGAGAGTTGGGGCCTCTCAAATGCCTGAAATGTACTGAATTGTGAATCTTTTCTGCAATAAAGAGAATTTTTATATTCAAGAATCTATCAACTTTCTGTTAACATTTTTGCTATGCTTATTTTGGTTGGTGGAATTATTTCATCTTATGCCTGCTTCTTGCAGCTTTGAAGGTGTTATTGTAGATTCTCTGGAAGCAAAAGATGCTATTTCAAGGTAGGGGCTGCATCTCCATGGAGTTAGTTGGATAGATACTATTTCAATTGCCATTTTTTATTGCTTAGTCAATCATTTGGCAACTTCTAAAATATTTTGATTGTCTAAAATTTACTTTATATGCAAAAGATATCAATTTATGGATACCAAATAATGCTATAAGGGATAAAAGTAATTTAGGAATGAAATTAAATTTAACACTAGGTAATAAATCTCTTACAGGAACATGGGAAATGAGACAATTTTAAGCATGATACAAGATCTTTTATGATTCTATATTTCACCTTAATTTCATTTGATACTACTGCTTGATTAGCCAATGAGCCTTATAATTTGGTTTAGGAAGCATTTATCTTGGTGGTTGTTTGTGACCCGATTTTTACAATAAGCTACTCTTGATCTACTTCATTTTGAGATTCTGTAAGTAGTGAGTTTTATATTTATGCAGCCTTATGCAGGCACCTTTTTGTTCTGTTCCGCTTATATGGATAATTCAAGAAGATACCCTGGCAAATCGTCTTCCACTGTATGAGAACATGGGATGGGAACAACTTATTTCTTACTGGAGAAATGCTTTTACCCGAGCTGATGTTATTGTTTTTCCGGATTTTTCTTTGCCGGTAATTCTGCCTTTCACCATCCTTGTTTTGTTAATTATTGGTAAACAATCTTCCTAGTTTTGTATTAGACATCTTTATATTTTCTCTTTTTCATTATTTTATGTGTCAGATGTTATATAGTGTGCTTGACACCGGAAACTTCTTTGTGGTTCCTGGATCACCATTAGATGTTTGGGTTGCAGAAAGCTACAGTAAAACCCACTCCAAAGTTCAGTTAAAGTTGACCAGTGGGTTCAGTAAGGAAGATATGCTGGTTCTAGTTGTTGGAAGTTCTTTCTTCTTCAACGAACTATCATGGGATTATGCAGTGGCAATGCATGACATTGGACCTCTGCTAATGAAATATGCTAGGGCAAAGGACTCCAGTAGGGCATTTAAGTTTCTTTTCGTGTGTGGAAATTCCACTGATGGATACAGTGATGATTTGCAGGTAATTTTCTGTAGATACTCTGTTCTGTTATTCTTGCATTCCTATGCAATTGCTCTAATTGATGGAGTTCTTTATCAGGAAAAGGAAAACAGAAATGAGTGTTGCATAATTATTTTGTGGATAAGCCTGGGTATCTCTTTAGTTTGCTATCATTGTCAACTTTTATTTTGACTTGTGGGGAACATGTTTGTAATATGAGCTACTTGCCGAATCAGGTCAATGTACATATTTGCGTATTTTAAATGATGCCAATTATAAGCCTCATCTAATGGTTTATTGCAAATTAGAAGATGCACGATAAAAGTATCTATACCTGCTGTGTAGAGGCATAGTGGAAGGATTTAATTGTAAGTAATGCACACCTTGTGAAAGTCTTAACGATGCCACATGCTCATGTGCTTGCAACAAAGAAGTGTGCAGAAGTGAAAATTTTGAGATGTTGGCTTAAAGTCAGATTATAAAGGGAAAATATGTGGACTTCAATATTGTCAAGAACTATTGGGATCAAGGGTGTGCTTACTTTAGGCAGAGGAAGCAATGCCAATCCGGATTTTTGTTTATTAAGGTTTTGTTTAAAATTTCAGCTTGCAAGAGGGATTTGAAGAACAATCTCAAAATTTCTTTAGATGTTTGGTTCCCTGATTCAATCAGGGGTTTTGGTGAAGCCCCAAATGGTAAGCTTTTCAGGCTTTTGCCAGAAAAGCCCTGTTCCTTTCTAAAAAAGCTTGCAAATCAAGCATCCATTCCCAAAAGGCCTGTTTCTTCTAAGGAAACCAAGCACAGCCCAACTCTGGGGCTCTTTATCTTCAAAATGAATGAAGGCCCTATGAATGAAAGCACTGGAACCAAGAACTCCTTGTTAAATTATTTAGGACTTCATTTTGTCTCTTTTTAAAGTCAAGGCCATAATTGTAAGGTTTAAGATACATAGTTTCTTATAGGTTGCAAAAAGCTCACGAGTTTCATTAGATGCCTATTGTTTACTTTATTGTTAAGGACAAAGATTGGAAATGCATTGGAAAATTTCTCACATTTTTAAAATACGGGATTGGCATGTAAGGTTGTTGCTAATGGTGGGAGTGTTTGAATGCAGTTTGTAGCATGCCTCTTGGTTGTTTAAGTTGGAAGATGGTCTGTATGTATGTGCATAAATTGAAGCAAAGGAGGCAACTACGTAGATGGTAGTTTATTTAGGAATTTTAGACGGCTTAGGATTCTGTTTTAATTTTGTTCAGAAATAAAATTTTGGAATGATACTTGTGTGTGTATCTAAGGTTTGATTGTCAGGAAGTCTGAAAGATCACATTAGGTTCACCTCAAGCAAAAGATCCTTTGATCTAGAATACACATAACATGATGCTGCAGAAAACTTGCTCACTAGAGAGGGTTGACACAACTTACTGGGTGGTTGGACTGAATTCATGGGATGGTTTATTTTGTTAAAAAGCTGGGATCTTTAGGGTTTTTTTTTAAGCTATACAGAATAGCTTTTGTGATTTTTACAGTTGATTTGTTTATAGATTTTGAGGTTATTTACTGTTGATTTATTTAAGATAAAAATTTAGATTTGCCACAAGTCCAGAGACTTGCTTTACTAGACTTCTGAAAAATCCCCAAAAATATCTGAGCTTTGTTAAAACCAAACACACCCTAAATATGTTAATAGGCTATCAATATTGTGAGGCCTCCTTTTTTAAACCCATTTTATAAGGACCTTAGGATTTAATCAATGATTCTTACAATTAATCTATGAGGCAGGCCTATTTCTAGAGTACATTTTATTTCTGTAGTCCTATGGAGCCTGTAAAGACTCCTGTTGGTATAAAGGGATCGGATTACAAAATTGAATAGAGGATAGTGTTGTGGAAGTGCTTCGCTTTCTGTCATCTGAACTTGTCTGTCTGTCCTTACCTATCTGGATAGCAAAAGAATCCAATAATTGTCATGAATGTATAGTTTATTCTAGTTTATGTTGATTGATGTTTGTTCCTTGATGAAATAATCTTACTTTTTGCTGTTACTTTATTTTTTATTTTTTTATCATTTTATCTGATTTATAGATGTCATTTTTTAAGTTGAAGAATTATGAATAAATAGAATCTAAGAATCTAAATTTTGTAACTTTAATATAAATATACAGCCTTTTTTCCCATATACCTTACATAAATGTGTTTTCTGTATGTTGGATAAAGTATTGTGTTAGTGCTTCTTGTTACATGGTTACAAATCTAGGTTCCACATATGTGCATTTTAAAATTGAGTTGATTGATTCTCTGTTTTTGTTTTGAGAAATTTGAATTGATCAGTACTGGTTCCAATTTCATAGGAAATTGCTACTCATTTAGGAGTGCATCAGGATTCAGTACGACACTACGGGATGAATGGTGATGTGAATGGCTTGTTATATATGGCTGATATTGTTTTTTATGGGTCCTCCCAAGATGTACAAGGTTTTCCACCATTGCTTGTGCGAGCAATGTCATTTGGAATCCCTATTGTTGCACCTGACTTCCCTGTCATAAGGAAATATGTGAGTTCATTTATTTTTTTATGTGATTGCTCATATCTGAAGTACATATATCGCTTTCTGGTCCTTAGTTTTTGATGAACTTATGATATTTTCAGATTACTGATGGAGTCCATGGGATTATTTATCCAAAACATAATCCTGATGCATTGATGAGAGCTTTCTCGCTTTTAATATCAGAAGGAAAACTCTCTAAATTTGCACATACTGTGGCTTCCTCTGGAAGGCTGTTAGCTAAGAACATGATGGCATCAGATTGCATTTCTGGCTATGCAGAACTTTTGGAAAGTGTCCTCACGTTCCCATCAGATGTCGAACTGCCAGGTCAGATTTCGCAGCTTAAACGAGGAGCATGGGAATGGAATTTGTTCAGGAAGGAAATGGAACTGAGTGCTAATGACATGGGAATTATGGATCAGAAGAGGTCCTACCTGGGGAATTCTAGCATTGTTTATGTCCTTGAGGAAGAGTTTACAAAACTCACTGGTTTAAGGAATGGTTCTCAGAGTGAATTGGAGAACCTGGTGCAGGATATTCCTTCTGACCTAGATTGGGATATCTTAACAGAGATAGAAAACTCTGAAGAGGTGGAAAGGCTGGAACAGGAGGAGGTATTTCTTTCTTTTGTAAATGGCTGCTTCTATGTTATCTCTTACTTTGGTATTTGTTTATTTTACATAGTTCCTTTCCTTTTCTTTTTGGATTGGCCTGGTAGTTAAAAAAAGTTTGTGCTTGTTGTAGATTGAAGAAAGGATGGAGAAAGATTCTGGTGTGTGGGAGGAGATATATCGAAATGCTCGGAAATCAGAAAAAATGAAGTTTGAAATGAATGAAAGGGATGAAGGAGAGCTAGAAAGGACAGGCCAAGCATTATGCATATATGAGATATATGATGGAGCTGGAGTTTGGCCCTTTTTGCACCATGGTTCTTTATACCGTGGGTTAAGTCTTGTAAGTTATACCATAACAGACTCTTCCCAATTTCTCTCTTTGATCAGTGTTCTTTATGTTTTTTGAACCCAGTTAGCGTCAAATCATGCTGCCATGAATACTATGCTTGAGTTTACCTTCTTTTACTATTTAATCCCAGCATTGTATCTCATATATTCTCTTGTTTTTTGTATCTAAGCATTTCTTACCAATTGATGCATGGAACAAACTTGTTAAAGGTGGTAAAACCTTAGTCATGAAAATTGTAGTATTTGACAAACTTGTTAAGAGGTGGTAATACATTGGTCATGAAAATTGTGGGATTTGCAATAAGATTATATGATTTGATTTACTACAGGCTGTTCTTATTGATACATATTGCACAGGTTAATTGCAACTGGCATAATAGTGAATTTGAACTGTTAATTCCTGAAGGAAATAGCTGAATTAATCAATTCATCAAATCACTATTGAATCACATGGGTTGACCGAACTCTATTGTGGGTTGTCAATTCTCTTTGAAATTGGACTTTTCTCTTATCTTTCTTATTTATTTATTAGTTGTTTCTTTTCATGGAGAAGATTCTTAAAGGCCTTTGATAGTTTAAGTGCATTCTCGTTCTATTAAAGGTTACATTTATATTCCTTTCGAGAGACATGCTTAATGTTAAGGTTGCTCCTTTCTGATTAGAAAGGTCACGTTCAAATCACAGAAACACCCTGTTTGCAAAACAGCGGTAAGCCTGCATATGCCCAATGATTTTTTATTTTTTCCTCCTTTTTTCTCTTTTAGGGAAGTAAAATTTTGTTAGATGAAAGGACACGGATTTTTAGAAGTTCAAGGCAAGGGAAAAGTTTAGTCTCTGTGTGTAAAAAAAACTCTAGATTACCTTCAAAGAGTTGTTCTCTAGCAAATGATATGGTTTGGGTTGTATATATATATAAAGGGATTCCAATTTTGAAAGTGGACAAAGTTTTACAGTGAACTGTTTTTTCTTCTCTGATAAAAAATCTTTAAAAAAATACTCAACTCTGTTGTGGATTGTCAATCCTCTTTGAAATTGGAATTTTCTCTTATCTTTTTATTTATTTGTTTGTTGTTTCTTTTCATGGAAAAGATTTCTTAAAGGCCTTTGGTAGTTCAACTGTGTTCTCGTTCTATTAGAGGTTACATTTATATTCCTTCTGAGGGACAAGCCTAATGCTAAGGTTGCTCCTTTCTGATTGGAAGGTCACATATTCAAATCACAGAAACACCCTGTTCGCAAAACAGGGGTCAGCCTGCATATGCCCAATGATTTTTTATTTTTTCCCCTTTCTTCTCTTTTAGGGAAGTTACAATTGTGTTAGATGGAAGGACATGGATTCTTAGAAGTTCAAACCAAGGGAAAAGGATAGTCTCTGTTTATAAACAACACTCTAGGTTACCTTCAAAGAGCTGTTCTCTAGCAAATGATATGGTTTGGGTTATATATGTAACGTGATTCCAATTTTGAAAGTGGACAAAGTTTTACATGTGAACTGTTTTTTCTTCCATAATAAAAAATCTTTAAAAAAATACTCAATTTTTTCTGCAATAAACAGATTCGAAATCCTTTTTTTCTTTTTTCTTTTTTTTTTTTATCTAATAATTGAGATACCCAAAATTTTTATGGTTTTTTTGGTCTATTTAATTCCTTTCAATCTTGTTTGGCATCTGACTCTGGTTTTCTTAATGGATTCTAATTCATCTACTAAATATAGAGCTATGTTCCCCTTTGGTCCATCCTTAAAGTTGTCTTGGCAGGCTTCATGATTTTGTTTTAAAACTGTAGTTTTTGTTGCTTCTGATCTTCCTGCATCATGTCAGTCCACCAGAGGGCGAAGATTGAGGTCAGATGATGTAGATGCAGTTCAGCGGCTTCCCCTCTTGAATAATGCATACTATCGGGATATACTTTGTGAGATGGGAGGCATGTTTGCTGTTGCTAATGGTGTGGATAACATTCATAAACGGCCATGGATTGGCTTTCAATCTTGGCGTGCTGAAGGCAGGAAGGTATATTATGTGCTGGACTCCTTCACTCTCTCTCTCTCTCTCTCTCTCTCTGACTGATGCACACAGATGTGCTTTGAGGAAGAGTTGTGTTCGGCTTAGGCTTTAAGTTTTGCTATTGATTTTGGTGCTTCCAACAATTTACATGCTCCTGTAATATGTTCTGCAGGCTGCTGTATATGATTCTGATCTCTCTCTCTCTCTCTCTCTCTCTCTCTGATTGTCATTCTTATTACCTTAAAGCAGGTTTCATTGTCAACTGAAGGTGAACGAATTCTGGAAGAAACAATAAAAGCTAATACTAAAGGGGATACAATTTACTTTTGGGCAAGTGTGAACATTAATGGTGGACATCTTGGAAATACTCATTTGCCTACCTTCTGGTCAATGTGTGACATCCTTAATGGAGGAAATTGCCGGTATGATTCACATTTGGAGTTATAAGTGGTTGAAGACCTGTTTAGAGTTGGTTTGTTGACAGCCTTACACATTTTGTTAGTGTTGTTTTGGTTATATCCTTCTTCTTCTTCTTCTTCTTCTTTTTTTCCCTGCCATTCTGTATCTGGAAGTCTCTGGAGCAATCTATTTCCTGTTCTCTTATAATTAATTTTCAGCAGGACCCAAAAAAAAAAAAAAAAGAGTAGGTCTTGGTGGCTAATTCTCAGTTTCTTACCAATTTCTATATTTGTGGGGTGAGGGAAGCCTGGGCCAGTTATTTATATGATTTATCTCTGAGATTGTTGAAAGAACCAAATAATCCTGGATTACTTGAAATACGTGCTCCATGGAAGTAGATATGCTGTTCATCTCAGGGTTGTGAGGTATATCTGCTAGACTAGACCATGCATTTCGTCTCACCTTGACCTTTTTCCCTGAGAGAGAATGTATACACATCCATGAGATGTGTACTTTTTGCAGACACCATATTCAAATTGTTCAGACTACAAACTTAACAGCATATGCTAAACTATATCCCACTTGCATCTTAGGGGGAAAATAGATGGTCCAGTGCAGCATTGCATGGTGTTGTAATTGCATATGCTTAAAATGTTAGTTTTTATTTTATTTTTTCCTTAAGATAGGTTAGATATGTAACGTTTTTCTGGACGGAGAGTTAAGAGTTAGCAAGGATCAAACAAACTAAGCTGCTTGTAAACAACTTGCAGCTTCCTTAGGCTCTATAAGATCTGTTTGTCCAATTGGTTAGTGAAAGTGAAGCACAAATTTGAGGTTTTTGCATTTGTGATGTAAATTGTTGACAACAGAAAGATAACCTTCCAAGCAATTAATGGAGTTATGAATTAAAAATTTATGTTGGGAAGCTAGATAGATTTCTGGAATATAAATTGGATTTCAAAGCAATAATTGCAATAGTCCTGGATCTGAGGTAGAAATGATGCTTAAGATCTCTAATCTATTTTTATTTCCATCCGGTGTACTTGTGCAGCCTTGAACTCGGGTCTGTGGATCTGATCAACCTTGTTGTAGAAAGTCTGATATAGCCATTGAGGAAGTATCAAAACAGTGGACATGGTTACAGTTACCTGTCCTATGAGGAGTGAAATTTCTAGATTTTAGTGTTATTTAGCTTTTTCAATTCAACTACACCTTTTCCCATGATGTGGGGTTGGGTATATGGATCCTGCTTTTTCATTCTAAGCTATTAGCAGTCAGACTTTCAGTTAACTTGAGCTGTTATGGACTTTCTTTCTTTGCCGTCTCAGCTCAAATAATTTTCCTCATTCCCAGTGTTGGCCCTAATGTAGATTGTGTCACGCTTCCTGAGTAGAGCAGTTATAGTTATTTGTTGCATATGCCCAAATGTTCTTAATCACTCTTTTTTCGTCTTCTCATTTTAACCTCACTAGGCACTAGCATCACTACCTTTATCATTGCATGAATACACTTGTCTCATGACTTCATTCATGTCACTGATCAGGTTTAGATACCGAACTGATAACCATGGTCTGAATCATGAAAGTGGGTATAATATCTACTTTGTCTGTATTCAGAACTGTTAAAAAGTCTGAAGATGTATCTAAAATGTTAAACTCAGATAATTTTTTCTTGTTTCTTCTTTTTTGTCTTTCGACCTAATTTTTGTTCCTCTTCTCCTTCACCAAATGCTGCAGTACTGCCTTTGAAGATACCTTCCGCCGTATGTATGCTTTGCCTTCACACGCTGAAGCACTTCCTCCCATGCCTGAAGATGGTGGTCGCTGGTCTGCTCTGCATAGTTGGGTCATGCCAACGCCTTCCTTTCTGGAGTTCATAATGTTTTCCAGGTATGATTTCAACATAGAAAACTTGTCTTTCTTAAGCATTTGAGATTTAATTTACTAACCTCACACACATTATTGGACAGGATGTTTGCTGATTCTCTTAATGGATTGCATGGCAATTCAAGCAATGCAACGACTTGTTTGTTGGGTTCCTCAAACCTTGAGGTAAGCCTCATCATCCGCAGAGCATTCTTTGAGTGGAAGATGTTTGGTATTAGGACTTTTCAAAAGGGACAGGCTTTTTATGACAGAATGTTTTAGAATTACAAAAATCTTTAGCTAGCTGATTCATTCAAGGTAGTGAAAACCAAAAAGCTCATACTATTGGCTTTTTGCAAAAGCCCTCAAACATGACAGCGCTAATATTAAACAGGAACCTTAAATTACTGTTTATGATGTGAATATTTTCTTGACTGGCAGAGGAAGCATTGTTACTGCCGGATTTTGGAAATCCTAGTCAATGTTTGGGCCTATCATGGTGCCCGGAAAATGATATACATTGACCCACACACGGGTTCATTGGAAGAACAGCATCCAGTTGAACAGCGGAAGGAATATATGTGGGCCAAGTTCTTCAATTTCACACTATTGAAGAGTATGGATGAAGATCTGGCAGAAGCTGCTGATGACGATGATCACCCGAGTGAAACATGGTTGTGGCCATTAACAGGGGAGGTATACTGGCAAGGTGTATATGAAAAAGAGAGGGAAGAGAGATACAGACTAAAGATGGACAAGAAGAGGAAAACAATGGAGAAACTACTTGATAGATTCAAGTATGGCTACAGGCAGAAATCGCTCGGAGGATAGGACAAAGGGGAATAAAATTTCAGTTCTAATCCCTTAATATACGAAAGTTTCCCATGCAAAAATAAAACGGGAATACAATTTTTTCTAACAATAGCAACATTTTTCAGACAGAAGCTCACATTGTTCTTCTCGTTTTGCATCACATACATGCTCGGTAGAGAGGAAAGCATGGCCGAGCTTGCCAGCAACTGCAATTCACTGGCATATTAAGCAGCTTTGTAGAGAGGCCACAGGATACAACGTGCTCCGATTATGTTTCAGATTCTTTTTTATTTTTATTTTGGTCAGGAATGGAGAACGTGTTGCAGCAATTAGTCGTTGTATTCTTTTAATCAATGTACATACTGCACAAAACAACAAATGCAATTTTGGGTAGTCACAAAATTGGGCTAAAAGTTTGGCTGAGCTTTACTCCTTTCGGGATTATTTCTTCTTGCTGGTCTAGGAATACCAACAATTATGCTGTGTAGATGTTTCAATTCTAGTACTATACCGAAACCCTGGCTTCTTACTCGGCAATTTTGAGATTGTTTTCTAGTTTCAGGTAGATTATTGAGACATAATGTTATATTAATAGTAATAAATCACAATATATAGGTTACCCAAGTATGCCATAACCCAGAATAATAATATCCTAAAGTGATCTTAATTCAGAACCTGCCTGATCCTATTTGTTTGTCATTTCTGCATCTACGTCTCCTGATTTGCATATTGATTCTCCCATTTGTGTATTCGAAATGACTAACATTTACTTTGCTTTCAAAATAATTTCGAATTAATATTTTAAATCTTTTTAAAATTAAAATATCATGAAGAATGTAAAGCTCAAACTGCATAAATTTACTCTTTATGGTGAGATCTGAATCCGCAAGAAACTTTTCTTCTTGGAAAAAACTTGGCTGTTGCCTTTGGCAGCAGCCAAGTCCTGCTGCCCAGCTTGACTGGATGCCATCTGCCCCTTCTGGCGTCAGAAAAACAGCAAAAGTATTTTTTTTCGTTATTTTTTATACTATCAAAGTTGCAACATGGAGTGAAACAAATTATAAAAAATGTAAAAAAAAGAAAAAAAAATTAAGAATAGATTTTTGTGAGAAAAAATTTAAAGCATTAAATATTGAAATTTTAAAAATTTATAGAGATCAAATTTTAGAGAAAGAGGTGTGAAAAATTTAGAAAGAAAAATTTAAAGGGAGAATTAAAAAAAATAACTGGAGATGAAAAAATTTGCAGAGATAAAATTAAATTTGGACACTAGACAGATTATTATTGATTTGTAAGATAATTTGGATAACTAAATTTTTATCTTTGTAATCTTTTAAAATATTTAATTTTTAAAATTTTTTTCTCTGAAATCTTTTATTTATAATTGTTTTCTAATTTTTTCCAACTTATTTTTAATATTTTATATTAAATTTTTTTCATTCAATGTCACAATTATGATGGCGTAAAAAATAAAAGAACTTAACTTTTTCTATTTTCTTGATGCAGAAGGGACAGATGACATCCAGTTGAGCTGGGCAGCGGGTCTTGGCTGCAGCCCTTTTTCCATTTTTTTTTTTTTTTTTGGTAACAATGGTGCTGAAGCCTAACAAAAAGAAAATTATTCTATTTGTCCCACGGCAGTACAGACTCCCAACACATCTCTAAGTTAAGGGAGTCTCCGGTATGATTTTGGGAGGGAGGGGTGGGGGTGTCAATTTCTTTAAACTTATTTTTTTAAGAAAGAGTTAACTTGCTCAGAAAGTTTACATATTTGTTGGCTTCTCTAACAATCCAGTTAATCTTAACTTGTCAATTTTGTTGAAAAGAGACTTTATTCTAAATATAATAAGAGCATATTTGAAATCTTTCGATTATCTATTTTTAATTATGTTTATAGGAAAATTAAAATTTATTTCTAATTGGACCTTCTTAGCTTAAGTTCCAAGCTATTCTAAACCCTTCCTAGACCCTCCAAACCTCTTCAACTAACACATTCGCATCTCTTAGAGGCATGGTGAAGCCTTTAATCCAAAAACCCTTATGATTTCTTATCAAACTACCATATCCGGTCAGTCTTTTTTTTAAATAAGCGACATCATTTATGTTGAGTTTGACGCACCCAAAATTAGGAGGGCTCCATCTAGCTTGACTATTACTACCCACCTCAAGGGAACTTCTTATTCTAGATTTGGAGTTCTTGCATGGTAGCAACCACCATTCAATGGGCTTTAGGTGCTCCGTCGGTTATGGAAGTCTTCCTCAAAAATACTCTATTCCTCCATGTCCAAATGTTCCAAAAGGTGATGGCCTAAACTTCTTGCCAGTTATGGTCCAAAAAAACACTTTTTGTGCTCCAACATGAGAACATAGGTCTCACAGACATGGGAACAAGCTTCACTCAAATCCTAGCTGTCATTGGCCAATATCTAAGAGCACGTAAGACTGTCTCCTCCAAAGTCTCGCAATCACTACATTTCTTATCAATTCCACCTCTTCTCTCATTTGTAAGCAACCTTCCCCGAATAGTCAACTAAGTAAAGGACTTCACTCTCTTCGGCACCCAGAACTTCACACAGTATTCCAAGTTATAAGCCCCAAGGAGCAAGGCCCTTTGTCCTTTATTTGATATGGGGCTGGTTGATGGGAAGGTTTTGATGTCCTTTCTCTGTTCGTCTATTTCTCAAGAGTCATCCAACCCAATTACAAGTCCAAACTAAAATACTCTCCACAAAAATGGGCTGTCGGGTTTGGTTTATCCATCATTAAAAAGTTCTCCCGTACTGGGCCTCTGATTGGGTGGTAGCCCGGACCAATATGTTTATCCCCAAACTCACTCAACTCCCCCTCTATCTTTCTTTTTGATTTTTGTTAAACTCCCGCCAAGGAGCAGACGAGAATCTATCGAGACATAACCGAGTCGGGTTTATGAATTTTAATTTTAAAGAAAAATAGTATTTTATTTCAAAAAAAAATTTAAAATTTTATTATTATATATTTTTAAAATATATAAAAAAGAAATTTTTTATAAATAATAAATTTATAATACTTATCTTTTATAATCAATATTTAAAAAAAATATTCATAAAAAATATTATTTTTAAACGGTATAAATATTTTTTAAATATAAATAAATAATAATCATATATATTGAAATGGGAGAAAATTAATTAATATTTTATATTTTATTTTTAAAATAAAATTTTTAATAAATCTTTCACTTATATATTGATTAAGAAATATAAGAAAAAAGTTTTTTTTATATGTTTTTGCGGAATGTAGAGTTAAATTTTTAAATTTTTTGAAATATAAAGTGTTATTTATCCTAATTTTAATAATAAAAATTAGGATTTATAAATTTTTATTTTAATAAATGAAAAATTTGGCGTTCATGAATTTATATTATATATCTGTATATTACATCCCCGATTCCCACTGTCTCATTGTTCGCAGCGAGTAGGGTTGTTCTTGTTTCCCGCTAACTTTCCCGTATCTTTTCCTTTCCTCTCACTAGAATCACCTGAGGTAACGCTCCACTCTCAGCTTTCTGGTTTGGCTGCCTATTGCTTCAGTACAGCTTTCGTCATTTCTCTGTTCTCGATAATCGTAGTTTGCTCAATTTTTTAACATTCTGCTTGACTACTCGTTCTGGTGTAATTATTTGATGGTTTTGCTCAATTTATCTGTTCTGGCATCTTTGTTCCATGCTACTTCTGTTTCTAGATGGATGGAAATCTTTCTCTGTGCAATTTCTGTAGTTTCTTTTGCCCCGTTGATTGTTTTCTCTATCCAGTTGCGGGAATTAGGTACCGAAGAATCTGAGAACTAACCTTGGTTATCTTTCGTCTTCTTTCCTACGATTTTTTACGACTATGCATCTTGTTGATTAAATTTCTGCGATTGTACATGAGATTCTTTGTGGGGTTGCTTTTTTGCTTGAGGATTTGTTGAGTTGTAGTGTCATATTGCATTGGCTGATTATCTCTAATCAAAGCAGTGGACTGCAAACTCCAGGGAACTTTGCTCTTGTAGGGTTTCCTTCATCCATTTGCCTTGAGTTTTGCTTAATTTACAGTAAATGCTTTTCTTTCTAGCCCTTTTTTTTTGAAATGGGCTTATAACCTTTAAATTCAGGTGAGTTAGCCATGTAAGCAGCTCCAAGCTCATGTTAACAAGATCCTGACAAAACGCTGCATCTTTCAATTGTGTATGTGAAGGTTGGGTCCTGTAGCTGGTGGCTAATTGACGAGCATGCATGCCATTAAGGGTGGCTGGGTTGGGCAGACATTTGCTCTAGCCAACTGCAATGACTCTGGAGGGAAGAAAACACGCATTCGGCGTTCAAAGGAGGAGAGAAAGGCAATGGTTGAATCTTTTATAAAGAAGTAATAGCATATATATTCTCTAATCTTTTTGTCTTCATAAATATTTTATGAAGTTATATGGTCTGAGGGTGGTTAGTAGCATCATTGCCTAGTCTTTGGACTCTGCTTTATATAAAACTTTTTGTTATTTGGTAAAAGTTGCTAAATGAAAAGCTACTTGTTTGGTGGCTTCTTTAAGTCCTACAACATTGATCTTTAATTGTTGTACCTATATAGTGTTAGGCGTTGCGTAGTGCTTGTCCTGCTAGTGGGAAGTGCAGTGGGGTTTAGGCAATTGAAGCATCTGAGGTTTTGTAAATTTGCTTAGTGAAGTTGTGTTTGGATGAAAAAGGCATTCAAATACTTGATTGGTGGCTTGGTGAGATTTTATCTCTTTCCCAAATGCATTTTTTTATCAATTACATCCAAAATTACTTTCACGGCATTCTGACTTCAATTATTCATTTTTTTCACCAAATTTTTAGCAATTGTCAAACCACCCTACTGCATTGACAGCAGTTATGAACTCCTCTAATTGTTCCTGGATTCTCAAGTTTGTAATGATAGTCATAGTAGAAGTATGCAAAAACCTTGGTGTACAACTAATTGGAATGTTACTTGCAGACATCAGAAATTAAACAATGGGAATTTCCCATC